CCCCTGTACAAAACCACAACCCCTGTACAAAACTACCCCAACCCCTGTACAAAAACAACCCTCCTGTACAAAAACCCAGCCCCCTGTACAAAAGCACAATCCCCTACAAAAACCCCAGCCGCCTGTACAAAACCCCAAGCCCCTGTACAAAACCCCAACCCCCCTTGCTCTATTACCTGTTTTAAAAAAAAAATAATAAAAAAAAAAAAAAATATATATATATATATTTATATATATATATATTAGCATCCAGACTCATACTTTACTCACCTTGTGTATCTGGTGTCCTGCGTCTATACCCCCACTGGCGCTGTCCGCAGCCTGTGACACAGCCGCAACTCCTTGAAGGCGGAGCTTGTAGACGTCACATCGGGATGTGACACGCGCCTCCATTCGCTTCTGGACCGCCTCCACTCGCCTCCATTCGCTCCTGGACCGCCTCCATTTGCTCCTGGACTGCCTCCGCCTGCTTCAATTCATTTCCGCCCGCCTGCTTCATTTTATCTCCGCCTGTCTCCAGGTGACCGGAGCAATGAATATCTTTGCTGGGCCGCAAAGATATTCATTGTGGGCCGTGACTTTGACTTCCATGCATAAACAGAAACAAAGGTGATTTAACTCCTAAATGGTAGTGATTTGAGCAGTGAAACTTCACAGGCATGATCTATACACCAAAACTGCTTCATTAAGCTAAAGTTGTTTTGGTGACTATAGTGTCCATTGAAAGAGACCAAAACTGACAAATATTGTGAATTTTTCAACATTTAATCAACTTGAGACATGTATAGGTTGGTACAAATAATAATAATATGCGTCAGTTAGTAAGGCAGAACATGACTCAGGCTGTTAACTGTGCCTCATTTGGTCTTTTGGTAACGTTGCCTAACAAACAGTCTCAGTAGCATGAAGGAAAAACAGTCAGATAGATACTAGCATACTAAGAAACAGATAGACATATTGTCACATCAAGAACATTTTAATAAAGCTCATTTAATTAACGTTTAATAATATTGCTTTTTAATCTAATTAACATTGATATTGTCCTAAATGATCTTCTTTCTCGTGTATCTTATACCACTCATAATGCACAGATTAAAAATTACCCAAATAAAGGAACCAGTTAGGAAGTGCTGAGAATTAACATGATAAGGTCTTCTAAGATCGAGAGACTGATTAGGAAAGTCTCAATTAGATTTTTTTCAATCATTGCAGAAAGAAGAAATCTCAGATAAAGATCGCTGGCAACATTTAGCTGACCTGGCGGACTTTGCTCTAGCCATGAAAGTGACCCTAATGAACATTAATTACCAGTCATTCAATAACTTCATGTTGCGAATAGGTAGGTACTTATCCCCCATTCGCAGGGAACTTTCAAAACGGAGGCGAGTAATATCAATTATAATTATAAAAAAAGTTAATACGTGAATAGGATTATTTGCTGAAGTGTGTATGGTTGTGTGACGGAGCTCCCCTAGTCTGACTGAGTAACTCCACCCAGTCTGCTTCCTAGCAGCTTTCAGGGACCCTGGACCTCTACAGAACCAGTTGCCAAAGCTTGACTGGAGTCTCTCAGGAGATCTTCCACCAGACCAGGCTGTGGCTCTCTCCTTCCAGGCAGGTATAATCCCCTCTGGATTTTTCTTCAGCTCTGTTTAAACCTCTCTCTGTAATGTGACTAGCTACTCAGGCCTATCTATTAACTTGTCCTGGGATCCAGGCACCAAGCAGCCAGCCAACAGTTCCAAACTGGGATCGTAAAATATAAGGTAGAGAAAACACACAGCTCCAAAAGGAATTAACACACAATTCTTTATTTTAGCCTTTGGGGACTGGTCTTTAAACAGGTAATGATAAACATTCAAAATACAAATATGCAGAACATTGCAGAACGATCACTTGTAAGGAATACATAAACTATATTACAAGTAACATTCCCAAACACAATAAAAAGCAACAATATATGCGTTTTACAACTTATTTGATTGTCAACATTTGCATACCAGCATTATGTAAATATACACACTTCCATTCAGTCAGTAGAGGGCGCTGCAGAGTGATTACGTAACAATGAATAGTTTGTATTTCAATTGCTACCATCGCAAGTCCTTTGGAGGCTCTTAAAACCTGGTCCATAGTCTGTGATCAATAGACTGGACTTCAAGCCTCTCCAAAAGGCCATGGCATGGAAGAGTCTGTCACAAGTAGTGATTTCAAATTGTAATACAAAAGTAGCTTGTAGCGGAATGGACCCTCACAAAACTACTTGTATTCCCTTTATTGGCTGTCCGTACACCCCCTATTACAGTACTATGATTTTACTCTTGCTATTTTGTGTGGTTCCGCTTTGTCCGTTCGGGAGACTACATACGAACTGAACCCATTCGTCTCTCGAATGAGGACCACCCCTGTGCCCCATTAGAACGTTCACACCAACCACTTAAGTGCAAAACCACAAGGGAAACAATTAATGAGTGCTTCTCCTGGTTGGCTGCCATTTCGTATAGCCGAACACGTGGCTGAGAGAATGGCGGCCATCTTGTCTCCCGAACGAGGGAAGCGATACTTAGTCATCGAGTACCTGGAACTCTTTTCCGCTAGGCGAACACCGGTAAACTTTCGATCGATTCTGTTCCCGACTACCTAGCGTTCGGGAGATAAAGACTACCGAACAGGGGGAGCATCCGTATCCTGAAAGCAGAGATTCCCTTGTATGGTTTTCGAACGGTAACCCCACAAACAGAGACCGGCCAGGACACCTAATCCTCTGGAACTATTTTGGGCTAGTGCCTCGTGTCTGGCTGGTCAAAACCTCATCACAATGCCAATCCTGTTCTACCAAACTGATCTAAGTAATTCTTGGATATGTTGGTCACTCAGATCAGGGCTATCGGGGAATGTGCTTTGTCCTCGGTATGGTTGAGGAACTTTTGGGGTACAGGATATTTTGTGGATTTTTCGTGCCTGAGAGATAATTAAGTTAGAGGAGTTTACTCAGGCAATTATCACTCAGGCACAAAGGACCTTGGGATTGAAGCCCCTGTATTTTCTGCCTGTGAAATCCCTTGCATGAGATTTGTATGTGTCAATTAAATTCAGTTATACCCTGGAGCTGAGTGTCGTCCAGTTGCTGGGGAGGAGTATAACAATTGGAGACTCCTGTTAGGTTGTTAGAAATGTACTTTATAGAATATAGCATTTTAGGTTGTCCACAATGTTTTTGTGAACTAAAGCCATTGTTTCTCATTGATATGTTTCAAGGTTTGAATAAAGGAGGAGTGTTGGCCGGCGTTATTGGAGCCCGCAAACCACATTATGACATCTGGGGGAACACAGTGAACGTGGCCAGCCGAATGGAATCGACAGGAGTCATGGGAAACATACAGGTTTGATTGATATAATAAGACCTTGTCCTGAGAGGTGATCTATAACTGTAGCTATTACGCACTTACATTTGTAACAGCTTCTTAAATGCAGACTTCACTGTGGAGCTGAACTACGGGGAAACAATTACAACAGAGTTGTTGTGTTCAGTTCCTGTACAGTTCGTTGATTATAGGGACATTGTACCTGATTTATCTAATTGATGTGGTTATTAGTCTACAATCATCTGAAGTTCTCCTTCCTTTGAGCCTAAAAATGTTTTTAATGCCAAACGAGAGTCCCCAGAAGTCCCTCCCCTCTGTGCTATTTGGGCTAATGAGGAAGCATTAGCCTGAACAGGAATGGGCAATGGTGATTGGTTGAGAGTATCAGCTGACCAGTTTCTGTCAATCATACTGCCTATTGCTGGTATGAATTGGTATGGCTAGAAGGAAGTTAGTAATCCTTGGCTTAGCCTTAGTGGGGGTGGGCCTATGGGAAGCCAGGGTTCCTTAATAAGTGTTAAACTTCTTGAAAATAGTTTAAGACTAAATGGAGGGAAAGTGCCAGGGGACCCCAGGCACTATAAACACTTCAATTATATTCATGGTTATAGTGACTACAGTGTCTCTCTAAGGATAAGCTTCATTGAACTTTCTAAGTAACCTGACATTGTTCCAGATAATGTGAAATTTGCTTAAAATGCAGCTGGTGAGTAGCATCTATTCATCTACCACCTAGGTTTAGCAACCAAACTCAAATAAAACTGTGCCTAAAATACAGACTGCTCTGCAATGACCACCTATTCTTTTTATCATCTCAGGGCTATGTGGAGCCAACCAGGACAATGCTGAGTACACCTTAGTATGATCATTTATTAGATTGCAATTATATCAACTCAGATAAACTCAGATGATAAACTTTAACCTTGACAGACTATATCAATGAAGATGAATAAAGATGGAAACATTTATACTTTAAAAGAGTTCACCAATTAAAACATAAATAGTAAATTGTACTCAAAGGAACACTCTAATGCTGTAATGTTCTCCTCACCATTTAGATTAACTCCCACTAAATACAATTTAAAAAAAAATAAATTACCTTTTTTCCAATTCCAAGATCTAGTACCTGCAGCTGCCCAATTTGCATCCTGCAATGTCACTCTGAATGTTCATCTTCTCGTCCAATGCTTCTCATAGAGGAGCGCTGGGAAAGAAAACTGCATGGACATCCACACTGTATTCCTCCAATCAAGGGCTCTCTATGAAAAGCATTTGAATATGTTTTGTTTGAGAGCTGGGTTTGACTTGGTTCTCACAGCAGAAGCACCTCTAGTGACTGTCTAGCCAACAGAGGTGCGTTTATCCCTGCAATATAAACCTACTTTATGTACTAAAACGTCTGGGTGTCAATAGTGTCCCTTTACTTATGTACCATTTGTTTTGGAATTTTTGTTCAATTAGATTGTAAAGATATGAACTGTTTGGTCTACAACTTAAATATAACGTGTATCTCTTTATCCAGGTTGTAGAAGACACACATGATATCCTCAAGGAATACGGCTTCCGCTTTGTTAGAAGAGGTCCCATTTATGTCAAGGGCAAAGGGGAACTTCTCACTTTCTTCCTGAAGGGACGGGACAAGCAAGGCTCATTCATTAATGGCTCATCGGTAACTCTCCCACATCAAGTTGTGGACAACTCTTGATAGCTGGTCGACTCCACCAGCAAAAGTCATCAAGATGAAAGACAAAAATAACGTCAATGCAGACTGACACCTCAGGCACAGATGTCCTACTTCAGAACTTTATAATCGATCTACTCTAGATTTTCTAGTTACACTAGAAAAGGAAAAAAAAACTTCATAGACTACACATATTAAGAAAAAAAACAAAAAAACTTTCATTATTTTTTTCTGGAGTTGCCTTTTAAACGTATCTGCTTGACATCCTCTGACTCTACAGCACTCGCTTCTTGAGACAGATTGTCTCCTTCTGAAACAAGCATTGACATTCACTGTCCTAAAACCACGACAAGAGGACACAGGGCCGAAAGCACCACGTGTGATACCAGCAGATCGTGTAGACACAGGACTATGGAGGGTAATACAAGAAGTACATGGAATGTATATCTTCATCCAGAATGTAGACTGTGGGCATAGAAATCCAACAGACATTGAATGCCACTTAATGCGAGGGACTGCTGGACTGAGGACATCTTCTCAATGGAACAGGACAGTCTGAAGTCGAGAGAGAAGTGCTTGCTTAGGGATAGTTTGTTATAATAATAATCTACCCACTGTGTAGTTAGGAGGAATTCAAAAAGTGCAATATATTTCATTACGTTTGGATTAAAAACAGAAAAATATATCTATATATGAATATTGACAACAAAGTTGGAAACACACAAACACACACACATTTGTAAAAATTCTAGTTATATTTTTTAACAGTTGGCTAGTATTTACCTTCCAAATACGGCCCGCACATTGCCCACTGCACCTTTCATCTCGAGTGCTATCAGTGTGTCTAACACATCACTAGATGCTGCACACACTCACCGGAATTAGGAGAACTTTACGAAACATACATCCATGCATTATTTTCAAAGACAAAACAGAACAAAAAGATAACAAGGTAAAAAAATGTTATATAAATATATAATATCTTTTTTCCTAACCCAAATACACACAAAGAAATATGCTTTTGTAAGTCTGATTTCTAAGGACATCGACGTGTTACTACAAAGAGTATACAGTGACACAGTAAAATCAAGGAGCAAATTCTCATTGCACCAAATATTTTCTTTTTTTTATTCCAGTTGAAATTTGAAAGACTGTGGCAACACTGCATATCAGAAAGGCCAATGATTTATTGGGTGGGCAGTTGTACTGCCTATTACCGGAAGGGATACTTTGATCCTTTTTTTAGATCTATATTTTTATGAATATAATATATATGGTAACCTGAAGATGCGCTGTAATTGGTGAGAATGAAACCTTTGGGGAGGGGAAGATTAGCCTGAAACTCCACGATTGCATGGGGATTTCCAATTGTAAAAGTCTATACTAAAGAAATACCATGGGAAATGCGTTGTCTGGATAATGACAGGGAAACTGTAACTCTGCCTCCCGCTAGGGGACTGATTTCCTTTACACATATAAACAATAAAAAACCAACCACATCGATCATTTACCAATGTTATAAACCAGTCTGCACTTTTGGGCTCGTAGCAATATTCCTTGAGTAGAAACTTTAACAATGCACCATACTAGACATGGCGGAGATCAATTCTAATGTCTGGGGGCCTGCAGACATGTTAACTCTTAAAATATATGTATTTTTCCATATTCGACAGAACACAAGGTTTGTGACTTGATATTTTATTAGTTTAGTGCACTCAACTTCCCGCCTCCTGCACAGGAAGTGCTCACAAAGACGTGCATAGAACAAGTCCTTCCGGAAGCTAGTTGGAAATTCTAATCTAGAAACATTTAATTTGCTTCAATTTAGATATATGTTACAGGCAATGTCCCTTTAACCAAATACAGGGTTATTTTATACAGTTATTTTATTAAAGGGACACTACGTACCATAACCACTGCATCCCACAATAGTGGTTATAGTAGTAGCTATGGTACATCTGTTCCCTTGTTCTGTGTTAAACTGCTTTCGAGTGATTTGGTACAATTTTCCAGGGTTATTTTCTAAATGGAGAATCCAAATGGAGTTTCAGATTTAAGGCCAGAATAGTCTGAGATTTGGCAATCTAGACCTTAAATTTTTAAAATTAATTTTGTTTAATAACCCTTTATATGTCCCCCAGCCCCTGTGGCCTGGCCTCTCACTCTCCATTACACCATTCTGTATTAGCAGTATCACGTTTGTCCAAATGTAGATGGCATAGATTGGTTGAACATGTCAGGAACTTATGAATGAGAATTTTTCATATAAGATTATTTTGGCCTAAAAATGTACCATAATTCCTTTATTAATTCCTACGGTAGTTAAATATATGATCTTGGTATAATTCATGTAGTCAGGTTCCATGTTGTAGCAAGTATCTACGGTAAAGGGTTTTACTAACGTCAAATAAGAGTGTTTAAGAAAACACTGTTTGTGGTTAGAGTAATCCTTCCTATCCCAGAAAATAAAGCCAAAACTCATGTTCCATTCCTGTGCAGAGCAGGAAGGATGAATGAGGAGGACGGGGTGAGGGGAAGCTCTGCCGCAATGTGACGTTTGTTACGGCATCAGGCATCCAATATTCACAGAATTGATATCGGCCGGCTGCAGTTCTTTTTCTGGGCTAGCTAATGAAGTGAATTCATTAATTAAACCTACGGCAGCAAAGGGGTTAAACTCTGTATGTCCGTTTCATAGTGAAACACTGCACATGAGTTCTACAAGTCACTCATTTGAAGTGGTTATGGTAACCCTTTTGAGTACATTTTAGCGAATCACCAAGGTAAAAATCCCCTGAACTTTTTGCAATCCTAAAAATAAACCAAAGCTTTTTAATATTTTCCAATTGTATTTTAAACTTTGTCTGGACGCATTCGCAGGTGTTTTTCAGACATTGTATAACATTTCCCGATTCCACTTTGCCTGTAACATAAACGAAAGTATATAGGTTTACTTTGAATCTTCTTTTCTTAAGAACATTTACTGTTATTCACTAATTGGTGAATTGTCTACAAGTTAGAGCGAATTTCAAAGTTTAGGCAAATTAAGTCAATTATTTTTTTTAAATCCCGAACAATTAAACTTAACATTCCCATTGAAAGATTGCTGGGGGTACAGCAACAGTTTGTGGTCCAGGGCTGGTTTACACCCCTCAATATTTATTAACCAGGAACCAAAGAAAGCGAGAAGGACATTGCACTATTTATACAAAAATAGCCAGAGATTTTCATGTCTGCCTAAACCTTAAAACTGAATTTAGCAAATATTCCCACAAGTATAATAAGCGGAGGTTCCTCTGTATAGTCTGCTACGTGCCATGTATAGTTCGATTTTCCGGTAGAGAAGCTCATTCTCCTTATTTAAAACCCACGAGGGTCTCAACTGCAAGCACATGTCCTTTTAAATGAAAGCCTAATCACTGTGACCGATCTATTCTTGGCATGAAGGGAAACTTAAAACAAGAGCTCTATTATATTTATTTTACACAATGTTTTACTCCCTGGAGAATCAGAGGCTTTAAATAATCAACAACGTTACAAGATATATCCAACGTTCTACGTTATTACCTTTAATGATCAATTAAGATGGTTTATTAAAGATACAAAAACATCTTGCTGGTACTGGCATGTTCATCGACTCCCTGTTCTAACAGCTTGAATACCCAACGCAGGCTTTATGTGTGGCTTAGTATCGCATAGTACAGTCAAACGGGAGCCACTTGTCTGACGATTCCATCAGATTTTCAAAATTTTGCTTGTGGTTTAAGTTACCTTGGGATAAGTAGTTAAATGGGGACAGCTGTGCATGCACAGTCTTTTCTGGAGCCAGCATCTCCTCCTAGTGGCCTCCATTAGCTCTCCTGCAGTGCCAGCTCACGGATGAAGAGTGCCAGATAAGCACTCTATGCCAATGTGATAGCCCAGCACTGCCGGACATAGCTCAGGGCTGCAAAAGAGGTGACTGGTGCTCAGCAGACTCCAGTTAAGTTGTAAATAAACTGGCACCATAACCCCTACTGTGAGTTGTAGTGGTTATGGCGTTTGGAAACACAATTTTCATTCAGCTCTGGATTCTCAAATTTAGTAAATTTTCCAACATGTATTTAAGTTATAATTCAGTTTTTCTTCATGGCAGAGTTTATGCAAGTGCTTTAATCCCAGTTTGTAAACCGATATACGACAAACACATCAGGTACAATAAAAAACATATTTATTTTATGTACACAAATATACGCAGAATATTTTTGGCTACACTACAGAACACTTGTATGGTGAATTCTTGTTTCATGGGAGATGTGGACAATGGTTGGGACAATGGTAGAAGGAAATTCGAGAAATCTGAAAGACAAACATCCTTTTGGAAGATCAATATCTTCTTCTGTCATTTTTCATATCTGCTTTTAATAAACTGCATTCTTGATGCAAACATACTCCGTTGGCTTTGAATGAACCAATAAAAACCATGTACCGAGGTTTAAAGAATACTACAGACTGTCCAAACAGCAGCAAGGCAATTTGTCTCTAGGCACAAATGGTATTTATAATGAGTTTGTCTCGGGTGCCAATATGAACTGTTTGTGCATGGGTGTCACATAGCCGCTGTATGTGGTTGTAGGCGTGAGAACATGTTGGGTATGCTGTGCAATGTGTGTTGCCCACAGGAATGTGGGCAACATATAGGAGCAGTTTGAGAGCCATGTAGCAAAAGGTTTCTGGCTTCTACGGTCTTCAGATGGCTCCTAGAACAAGGCAAATCTATTACTGACACAGCAGGAATCTGAACCCACCACATTGATCATCCGCATGTGTCCACATAGAAAGTCTCTGGAGCTAGAATAATCAATATAGATTTATCAAAACCAAGTTTGCTGTATTACACTATTAATGTAATCAATTTCTGAAATCAGAACAAACAGATTAAAATGAATCCGTCCCCAATAAAGAAATGCTTGAATGGACCAATGTTTCATTTGCAGATTTCAACATTTCCAGAGCCTTAGGAAGGGTTTTTCTGCTGAACAGCGAGGAATGTGATGATACAGTGTCTGGAAAGGATAGCGTGGAATCTGAAACATATTAAAAACTAAATTAATTAAAATAACAACTCAAGGTGCGACAAACCAGCTGCAAAATGGAATTTAACTTATAAATGCAAATATAAAGTATCTCGCTGGTCTGCAGTTTCCAAGCACGGCCTAAAATGTGTGATTTGTTACAAATTTCATAAAAATGTAACTTCTTATAGTTGTGCAAACAACATAATTGCTTGGGTTTAGTTTAATTTTACTCTGTGAAAGCAGACTCTGAAAATATAGTTAGCTAGATGGGAAGTGCAGGAATGTAAAAAACAAAGAAGATAAAAGTAAGGTTTGCATCCGTGAGGGCCCCTGCTCTATGCTGGAAAACTGTTAAATGGACAAGCAACACATTGTGTCAATGTAACTAAAATTAGCCATTATTTTCTATTATGTAAAAAGTATGGCATAAACTGGTAATGGGATTGCTGTCCTCCAACGCTTTGTACAGTCCTTTACAAACAGAAATACCATCTGTCTGGACCATCGCAATTTATCCAAGATGGCCAGCTGCCTTGGCTCTCAGTTTGCTTCATTTTGCAAATACACAAATTACGGTTATGCATTACCTACACAGCTCAAGATGGATTTAAAGAAGTCCTTCTTGGAGACAGAAACTCGACATTTATTTATAAAATATCTTACGTATGGATACATTGAGATTTTCAAGTATGTCCTGGGTCCACAAACACTGCATTGTTACAATAGGATACAATATTACAAAAATCCAACATACAAACTATATTATATATACACACACACACACACACACACTATATATATATATATATATATATAAATTTAATAAATAACAGGTAATACATATGTTTAACCATGACAGGTGCATCCTGTATTGAGGTATATTGCCATAGATCTCTTAAAAGATTTTAGATTGAATGAAGATCTGACTGTGTCCCTGAGGTTATTCCATAATTGCGGTGCTCTGTAGGAAAAGGAGGATCGAAGCACTTTATTTTTGCACAGACGGGCATCGTGCTTCAAACTGCATTTCTACTCTTAGTAATGGACCTGGTTTTAAAACATAACTTTATTTTAGCAAACAAAGAGAAGGGCAGGAGGATTCCGATGTATCTGCAGGTGGAATAGTGAAGATCGGTTTATGTCTAATATCTTTACCTAAGTAAAAGTGGAACGTAAATTGCTATAGATAACTAGAGACTGAAAGAGTATATAACTAAAACTTAACTTTTAATGCTAGTATTAATAAAAAGGTGGGACTACTCCCCTGTTTCAATTCTAAGGGAAGGCATCGCCTGAAAACCAATGAAATAAAATAAATAAATCAACAGAAAACATGTGGTGTTAGTCAACTAAATAGTATCAGAGTATATGGAGTACAGGTATTCATATGACAAACTAATACATGAGGTAGTATTTTATAGGTGAACAACTAACACCCCATATGATTATATATTATAGAGGTATATTCTAGATCACGGGAATATTGATCTAACCACTCAAAGCTCTCAGTCACACTCAGGCTGTAGTAGGATCCATGCAATGTATTGTGTGTTACAGGCAAGACAGTTGCTAATCCTAGTATAACAGTTACATAGATCGAAATCTGTATCATCTAATGCCTTTAGGAATGGCTACAAAAGTGTAAAACAGGGTAGTGTTTAGACCAATAAACCTAATAGTATAATTGTCCTGTTGTGCCTTCGAGGGCATCCCTGAACAAAAGCTGTCCCTGTGTGTCCTTGTAAGCAAAATCCGCCCCAACGGATCCCCGTATGAATCGTAACAAGCAATGGAACTGATAATGTAGCTAGTTCAGTATAAGCGGGTGGCAGTCATGGATCAAACAGCCTTAGTGTCCGTCTGGTATAATCGGTCAGCATGTAATTAAGTGCAGCTGTTTGAGTACCCGAGCCCCTGAAGCACGTTTCACCTTTCGGCTCAGAGGGGACCTTTAGGTACCTGCAGATACATTAGAATCCTCCTGCCCTTCTCTTTGTTTGCTGAATATTAGGGGTTACCCCCCAAATTAGGATGATTTACACATTTTATTTTAAAACCGAAAGGATCAGTGACCAGAAACCAGTCGTGGACTGTATATAATCATTTTGGTACCTAGAGATATGCTCAGAGTCGGAGACATCCAGATCAGAACCGGTACCATGCTGATGAGATCCACAAGTTCAAAACTGCAATCCATGACAAGTTTGTGCTCACTGATCCTTTTGGACCTTGTGGTTCTTATCAGTTCTGGGCTGGAAGTCTCTCTGAGAGCAAATGGCTATGTAACAAAATGATTTTTTCATTCCTCGTTATACCCATATAACACCTTTGTTTTTCATAATTGATTTTATATGTTATATATCCCTCTCTTCAGTTTCATATTTCATCCTGGGTAACACTGTTGCCCATTCTTGATAAGGCAGTTATACAGTGTATTAATAGCAAAGTTATTTTTTCTTTTCTACAAGTAGCAATTATTGTATTTATTGCATGGGCTGCTTGGGACTATAAATATGCCCTCAGTCATGGAGAACGAACTTTGGTATGCAAGTTTCAACCTTCTGTTAGCCGGTGGAATGCAAATGTGCAGTATGCAAGTGTGAATATGGCAGCATTGAAAGAGAGGCTTGAACGAGGTAAAAGTAATGTGGACAGACAGGACATGCACCGATTGGTTGATTACCAGTTATTAGCGCTTTAAATGGGTGGGTGAGTCAAAGCAATATATTAATCTTCACTCCCTGAATAAATTGGCACTAAGCGGACAAAACACGTTGGGATACCTATACTTGATACTAGCATTGAAGACCTGTGGGATTGCTTCCTGTGTTCCTGTTTTACCATGCATTTAAGGTGATATTCTCTTTGGAAATGCAATTTTAATTAAAGGGACATCATAGGCACCCAGTCCACATCATCTTATTGGGGTGCACCGCCCCCTTAGCGCTGCAGCTGCAAATACTGCCGTTTAGAGAAACTGAAGTGTTTACATTGCAGGGTTAAGACTGTCTCTTGTGGCTGTCTATTAGACAGCCACTAGAAGTGCTTCCTTCAGTTTGACTTCATAAAACAATGCTCACGCTTTGCAGTCCAGCATCGTCCAGTCCAGTGTCTTCAAAAACCCATGGGAAAACAGATTTAATGCATTCCTATGTGAAAGGCCTAATGTGCTCGCTGTGTTTGCACATAATGCTCGTAAATCGCTGTGACGTCGCCGGAGGAGGAACCCAACCCTGCACTGAGGGACATTGGCCCTGAAAATATAAGTGTTTTAACCCTTTATTTGCAGTTGGGTCATGAAGGATGGATGTAGCAGAGGCACTATAGTTGTAATATTAGGAATACAGTTTTGTATTCCTAACACTAGTGTTCCTTTAAAGGTATTCCATTTTACACAGCACACATTATGTTAGATTTCTCTTTCCTTATCGGAGTGCGTCTGTAACAAAACAGAAAAGACCGGAGGTTGGATTCCCCAATACAGGATATATGCATGTTTGTTTCGGAGATCTTGTGAGTGCAATTTAAAGGCATAACCCCCTCCTCACATTTAAAGTGCTAGCCTATGTGTGTGTGTTCTGTAGATTCCCTACAAACTGATTGTACTACAGTCCGTGTCTGGTACTGGTCACTAACCCATTTGGATGATATCATATGCTTTGATAAAAAAACAAAAACACCTAAATCTGTGTTTAAAAACAGTTTCTACGGCTGAGGGTAGCTGCTGAAAGGTAATGTACAACAGTAACGTTTAATTTGCACCGAGGGGAGTTCAATCGGTTTTGATGCCCGGTTTTGCTGAGCGATAATGGGATTGCAGTTGATGTTGGTAGATACACTGCAGTTGCTCGTCTTCCATTTACTTTACTTGTTTAACAAGCCTTTCCGATACATAATGCCATTGCTAGCCTTTTGTCATCACAAACCTGGCACCTTCTGAGAGCTTTGGCCCAGCTAACAAAATGATACAAAATGATACCCGATTCTGTGTGTCTGACCTAAAACTACAATAGACTCACATACAGACATCTGGTGCTCAAATGGGGAATGCAGTCTAGTGGCTGGTGTCTCAGAGGTCTGTGACTACAGGACTATAGTTTATTGCCTTTAAGAACAACCATGGTTACTATGGCAGTTGGTTCAATCAGATACAAATATTAAATGGATACTAAACATTAAAAACAACTTTAGCTTAATGAAACAGTTTTGGTATATAGATTATTTCCCTGTAGTCTCAGATTAATTCTCTGCAATTTAGGAGTAAAATCACTTATCCCCATCTTCCTTGGTTGTGAATAGCCAACATGGTTTTTGTTTTTTTAAATCAGATCTTATAGCACAATGTGATTAGTTTAGAAGTTCTTATCTCCTGTTAAGTTATTTAAATGTTAATCACTGACCTGAGGCTCCTGCAAGCTCTAGCAGGCAATTATCAGAGTAGGAAATAAGACATTCTAAATAAAACATAATAAAGGAAGATTAAATATTAGAACTCTCTTTACGGCCCAATATTAACGTTATATATTTTATCGATTGAATCCCTGGCAGCAGACATAAGATCCAATCAGGATATAATAGGGTTTGGAGGAATCAATACTCAAAAAATTAGGTAATATGCTGCTGATGTATAACTATTCAGAAAGCTGAGGAATCTATTGACCACGTTATGGAAATTATAGTAAATTCTCCAACTATAAAATAAATGCTGAAAAATCTTCGGCACTATTTCTAAAAACATCCCAAAATAATATTGATAATATAGAACATAAATATGGATTTAAACAATTTAAAAGCTATTTTAATTATTTGCGAATAAAAAATCTCAAAAAATCCAAAGAAATGGATGGAAATTAATATTTTACCGTAAAATAAACTAATATTAATTTTAAAAAATGGAAAACTCTGTAAATTTCTTGGTCAGGGAAGATAAACACATTTAAAGCATATATTATACCGAAATTTTTGTATATTATGAGAATGATCCCTATAAAGGTTCCTGATAGCTGGTTAGAATTAATTCAATCATCATTTACTAAATGTATTTGGTTAGGTAAAAAACCCATAATAATAAAAAAAAAATAATAATAATAAAAAAAAAAAGATATGTCAAGGAAAAATGATGGAGGCATGAGTATCGCAATCATTCAAGATATTGCACAAGCCAATCTATTAGCGCATATTTTAATTGTAAATAAGGAAGATTCTATTAATTAAAATTAGTATAAGAGAGAACAGAAACAGACTACGGGAGATAGGGATTATAAGACCCTTTTATGGCCCATGAAACAATTCAGCACATTCAAAATTCTAAATCGTTAATAGTTCAAAAAAAATTTGTCTAAAAATGAAATTCATTCACGGTATAAATTTAAATATACTATCAAATTTAATGATAGACATAAACCCGGAACTATGGACCCATAAGGGTATGGAAAAGATCTCCAGAGGAAACACACGAAAACCTTTCGAACGACTTCAAACTGGATATAGTATATCTTCTACCGAATGGTTTCATTATATAAGGGTAATAAATATCTGAGATTTCATTCTATCAAACCACCAGTTAAGTTGCTCTCAGAAATGTTTGAACAAACAGGTTAGCCCCATTTAGTCAACAAATGTCAAAAATGAATTTACAAGGCTCAGATTAAATCAGTTCCCCCGGCAATTGCTAAATGGAATTGTGATTTGAAAATAGATATAACTATGAAAGAATGGAATAACTCTCTTAAGCCATTATATAAAACCTGCCACTGTTTTAATATACATAAAACGCATTACAAGATACTAAACAGATGGTACAGAACCCCCACAAAAAATAGTAAATATGTATCCTGTAGCCTCCTCCAACTGTTGGAGATGCACTGAGCCAATTGCAGAGTTTAAACATATTTGCTGGGACTGCCCAATAATCAGACCTCTTTGGGAGATGACAAATCATTATCTATCAACTTACAGTTGCAAGAAAAAGTATGTGAACCCTTTGGAATGATATGGATTTCTGCACAAATTGGTCATAAAATGTGATCTGATCATCATCTAAGTCACAACAATAGACAATCACAGTCTGCTTAAACTAATAGCAACATTTTATTCTTTGTGTGTTATGTTTTTATTGAACACACCATGTAAACATTCACAGTGCGGGTGGAAAAAGTATGTGAACCCCTAGACTAATGACATCTCCAAGAGCTAATTGGAGTGAGATGTCAGCCAACTGGAGTCCAATCAATGAGATGAGATTGGAGGTGTTGGTTACAGCTGCCCTGCCCTATAAAAAACACACACCAGTTCTGGGTTTGCTTTTCACAAGAAGCATTGCCTGATGTGAATGATGCCTCGCACAAAAGAGCTCTCAGAAGACCTACGATTAAGAATTGTTGACTTGCATAAAGCTGGAAAGGGTTATAAAAGTATCTCCAAAAGCCTTGCTGTTCATCAGTCCACGGTAAGACAAATTGTCTATAAATGGAGAAAGTTCAGCACTGCTGCTACTCTCCCTAGGAGTGGCCGTCCTGTAAAGATGACTGCAAGAGCACAGCGCAGACTGCTCAATGAGGTGAAGAAGAATCCTAGAGTGTCAGCTAAAGACTTACAAAAGTCACTGGCAAATGCTAACATCCCTGTTAGTGAATCTACAATACATAAAACACTAAACAAGAATGGATTTCATGGGAGGATACCACAGAGGAAGCCACTGCTGTCCAAACAAAACATTGCTGCACGTTTACAGTTTGCACAAGAGCACCTGGATTTTCCACAGCAGTACTGGAAAAATATACATACACACACACATATACTGTTCAAACCTCAATAGCCAAAACTGGAAGTCTTCTAGGGTGGATAGCTGGCCTAAGATCCACTCTCAAAGTATTATACATTGTAAAATGGAGCATGCTATTACTAACTATTCCCTAATGAAGGGCCATCAATATAGTTTTTGGGATAGATGGATAAAAAACTAGACCCTGGACAGTGAAATTTCTGCATTTACTCTCAATCAATCAATTCCCTTTTAAACTAAGAAGGTATGTGGATACCCCCTGCCTCGAATCCCTTATCCATATTTATCTATGGCTCTGGACCTCTGCGATCAAGCAAACGTTTGTCTAGGTTAGTTCGTTATTTGTTTGTAATTGTTAAATACATTTGACGAAAGATTAGATAATTAAAATGAAGAGAAAGGTGTATATATACACGAAAAAAAAAAAAAACAAAAAAAAAAAACAAATGATGATTTGGTATTTAATATTTTTTAACCATGATGTTTACAAAATATGAAGCAACAAATAACATTTTCTGATGTAAAAAAAAAAATCAACAAAAAATATACACCTCTTTACTGGAAGTGTGTAGGGAGGCTGTGTGAGTCTCAGCTAGGGGACATGTGACGATGGCTGAATAAGCAATGGGATTTAACTGCTTAATGGCAGAGAATTTTGCAGTGAGATAGCAGTGACATGACATACACCAAATCTGCCTCATTATGCTAAAGTTGTGTTAGTGTTCATAGTGTCCCTTTAAGCCTCTGAATGCCAATATTGTATGGCCCATGTGACAATACTATTTGCAGGCATCCTTCAGAACAGGATCTCTGTGCTATCTATATAATGTAGAATTGCAAAAATATGTCATGGTGCTGTATAAAAGCGGTGCTTGGTTATATATGTTAGCCAGAAATGGTTTGATATCTGAAAGAACGGTTTATAGGATGAAAGTACAAAACGAAAAAGGAACAAATAATCTCGGATAAGAGGAAGATACCTTTGTAAGTGATTTTAACTTCAGTGGGCAGGATTCGCATGAGATCCCCGTAAAGTAATTTAGCGCAAAAACAAACACTGGTTCCTTCCACCTGCATATTATATTCGAACGTAAGCAGAGTGCAAAGAGAGTCCTTATGCACAGTACCAGGGATGACTATCTTTGGTAGAGCCTGGAAACGAAAACCAAACAAGTTGATTGGCTGATGAGTAAATAAATCACATTTTATTAGTTATTAGTGATCAACTGAAATGATGTGCAAATGCAGAAACATTAGTGAACACACACACACACACACGTCAAATTGTGAGAAGCAAAAGTGGGTGTGAAAAAATATACTTCCATAAACCTACTGCTTATATGGATGTCTTTAGGTGATAACATCCCATTATAAAAAAATAAAAATAAAACAAAGAATTCACTGCACCCTATAAAATGGACGATATGCCAGACTGGCATTGAGGGGACCTGAGGGAATAGGAGACTGGCATTGAGGGGACCTAAGGGCATGGGAGACCTGAGGGCATGGCAAACTGGCATAAAGGAATGAATTGTAAGGGGATGAATCCTGAATTTAAGTTTTTTTTAAATTTCTAGTGCTAAAAATCAAGCAAAACCTTTAAGTGACACCTTTAGTTTTGAATTTACTTTTTGGGGGGAAAAACAAAATGAAATAAACAGTGCTCAAAGTCTTTTGGCCGCAGTTGATATTTTAGAGATTTATTACTTTTTATAGTTTTTAATCATATTTTATGTCGCTTCCAAAATAATCTAGATTTGTAGCTTACTTTTGAAAATTTTAACGATCAAATGATTCCTGGAAATAGGGATTAAGAAGTACTGAAATATTTTATAAAGACATTTATTAATGGACTACCTGCAGCTGATCAGCCTGGTACTTCCTCCCAGAGTAGGCATTCAAATGTTCAAATATGACGAAGAGAAATTTTTTAAGGTCTCCTTTGTTTAAATGTGTCTGCGCAATCTGATCTAGAGGAATAAAAGCAGGAACAGAATGGCGCTCAATCCTCACATTCTTTTGTAAAACCAAATCCAGGTAATAGGAATCTAGGTATTTCCCTTCAAAGGCCGTGCTTATACAAATACAAGCTCCCATCTTGGTCAATTTGCCGCTGATACCTAAAAAGCAGAAAGAAAAAGAGTGCAACATGCAGGGTAAGCTTACTTCTAGAAAAGAGGGGTTCTAATACGTGTTTAACGATCATACTCAATTCACGGTCCATTTTTAAAGGTGCAATTCAATCAGCAAACCAGTGTTCTCAATCTTGTAATGCCTTCTAAAGTTGAATGAGCGAATGTAGACGTTCACATCTGCAAAGGTTAAGGTCACAGCAGTCGGAAAGGGCTGTGACTGCCAGGAGAGGCTTCGTTTTTGTCAAACAACTCAAAAAACAGTTTGACTCAAACTGGGGGGAATAGCACCAAACTGTCTATGGTTCTTAGAAAGTCATTTTAACAGGTGTGTGTCATCGCCGTGCACGCACGTTTTGGTGTCACCAGGTGCGCCCTGTCATGGTTTCCATTTACTGGTAATCAGAGAGTGTTCATCTTGGATTTCTATTCGCATTTTGGCTTGATCTTGACTTATTCTTATTTCTGGTATCCATGATCTATTGACTTGTCTACTCATTAATGTCTATCTGTATGGGTGACCATGGCTTGTCTCTGACAATTCTTTATTTACATCACTTATCACTCTAAGGTAAGAAGTGTATTTCTAAGCAGTTTACATATTAACTTAACCCCTTAAGGACACAACTTCTGGAATAAAAGGGAATCATGACGGAATATTTCTGTCATGTGTCCTTAACGGGTTAAACACTTTGTGTTGGGTCATTGTATATCCGGACAATTCACTACTAAGAGCATGTGAACCTAACATTAGTTAAAGGATTACTCCAACCACCATGATCACTTCTGCTTTTTCAAGTGGCTGTGGTGGTAGGAGTCTGAATGTGCAGTGAAATGATTGTCTAACCTGCCTGATGATGAATGACTGTGATAAAACCACAGCTTATTTATAAACCTTATACACTTTAATAATAATAATAATAATAATCCTGTTTTAAATATCTTAATATAAATCGCTGTACATGCATTTTAATACATGTGCTTTGACTTTGTGGATTACTACGTTGCACGTGCCTTTTCTGAGCAGCCATCATAAGGCACCTTTTGCCAGCTTGACATTTATCTGACCCAATGCTCACTATTTTGCAACGGTCTGCTGCTTTTCAGAATCGAGCGTACTTTCTGTCTGACTCATAGTTGGCAGGAATACCCGAGAGGTAATACTGCAGCCACAAATAGCAATCAACTTATAAAAGCAATGGACGATAGTAGGAAGTAGGTCATATAACCAACAATCTTTTCCAAGGTGCACAAATATGGTGGTTCAAAAAGGGGAGTATGGAAAGAAACAGGCTTTTCCTGAAAAACATCAACAAACACAAACATATATTGAGACATTCAACACAAAAAATATATTACAATAATAAAAAATAAAAACAATAAGACATTCGCTTTCCTTCTGATACCTGCACAAGCTCTAGGCAGTTTTTTCAAATAATTTTTATTAAACATTTTTTTTTTTAAATTTCGAACAGAGACAATTATGAAGGAAAGGGGATAAATAACTCATAAGATAACGTATATTTTCTGATAACTCAGACACTTTAACACAATGTTTTGGGACATGTTGTACACTTTACTGGATCCATGAAGGACATGGCCCCAAAAACCAGATGTGACAAAAAATATAAAAATCAGACTTGTTTATTGAATGCACTATAATGATATAAGCCAGTAGCAATGGAGGGGGCTTCCCATTTAGGATATGGAAAATTCTAAGCCTAGCCGCATCTCTGATGCACCACTAGGTGGCACCATGTCAAACTAAACTGTAATAATCCTCAGCAGCTACTTACAAGAGATACATGTAACTAGGGTTACTGGACATATATGGATAAATTGTTGTTGACTTACCAGATATATACCATTCTTATAATAGAATCTAACCATCCGAGGGAACCCTTCAGCCACAAATCGACAGGATGCAATTGTCGTGGCTAAATCTCCAGCATATCAGAGGCCAACTGTGCTTCATTGCCCTTGAATGTACATGATACAGTGACAAAGTTGAATCTGATATGCATAAATTAAAGATATTTTCCTAGATTTCACTTTGCACGGTGCCCCAGAATGAGGATTGTGCAACACCTGGGAGCGAGGTGGGTTCATGCAGACACAAAAGATTTAGTCGTTATCGCTGACAGCATGACAATGGCACAGACAAAGAGTCCATGACTGTCAGATGCAGCGAATTCTAATGTTGATTAGTGTATGTTGGGTAGCAATCTGGCCAGTAAACTGCATAGATGGAATTTGATGATCTTTATAGAGAAACAGATTGTGTTAGGCATGACAGGTGCACTTGTACTAATTTGCTGACAACGAAGGGAAAAATGTCTGTCTTCCCAGCTCCTATTACCATCTCAAGGATGGGAAAAGACAATGAGTAGCAGAACGACGACGCCTAACAATAGCATTGCAGTGCCAAACTTTAATTTATTAAAACCATGTATGACATTAACAGCTCCTTATCCTGCCTAGATGCTCCAATCTTCACTCCCTGTCAGACACTGTAGAGAAGGCACATGGAGGAGAGAAAAATTAAACCGTGTTTCTTCAGCATTCTCATTTGCAAGGTGGCTGTGCAGAGGCTGCATTGTGAACTTAGTTCCTAAATCTATAATTAAATATAAAAAGGAGCATCCAGTGCTGTCATTTCCACTGGAAGGTTCCCATTTAAATGATGGTATGACAGTCCTGAGAGTAAAGGCTTACCCGTTAACCAGTAAGCTCCCAGGATCTCCTTTAATTCCTCCAGCTCCCTCTCTCGGATAGGATCTTGGGTGCTTTCCGATGTCTGCCGGAGATCAAGTATGGGTGTCTTCTGAATGGTGAATGCTTGAATCTGCACAGAATGTATATATTGTCATTGCGATTCGTGTCACGCCAGTTACTAGTGAAGTTTCGATTCAGCATTTATTCCTGCTTTCCGTTATTTAACCTTGTTTTACAACCTGTACGTTACCCTTTCCCAGAAACCCCAGGTCTCACACACACAAGTTTTTTAATTAGAATGTACCAGGCCTTCCTGCTTTGTGGGTCCGGTGCTGCATCCGGGAAACATCACAAAACTACCCGTGGGCAGTACAGCATGAGTGCATCATTACACTAGGAACAGATTACTATGACTCAACTCCATCTCCTATAAACAAACAGTGAAGAGCAGATTCTCTGGAATATTACAGAACTCAGCTGATAATGTTACATCCATTTACTGGTTACAGCCCCTTCAACACCTGGAGGAGTTAGGTTTGCACAATGCTAGTTTGAAACCAATGTGTTTATCAGCTGATGAACCAACAATGAGATTACAAGCTGCTCTTTAAAAATCCTATAGTGAAACTGAATGTTCCAAGCAGATAGGGACCAGTGTTAATTTTGGTGGCAAACTTAAATTTAGTTTTAGTCATAGTCTTTTGACTAAAAAAATAAATAAATCAGATTTTAGTCATCTAAATTGTTTCAATTTTAGTCGACTAAATCTCCAGTAGATTTTAGTCAACACAACTAAAAATGGGTTTAGTTAAAGCCTGTGTCTCTTTTTCCCCTTCTCCATCCCATCTATGTCTCTTTGTGTCCTTTCAGCCCCTCTAGGTGTCTCTGTCCCAAGTCCTGGTTTGTCTCTCTTGCCCTTTCTTCAGCGCCTATGTGTCTCTTTGTGCCCTCCAAGCCCCCTTAGGTGTCTCTCTCACAAGCCTTGGTCTGTCTCACTTGCCCTTTCTCTAGCCCCTCTGTGTCTCTTTGTGCCATATCAGCCTCTCTATGTGTCTCTCTCCCAAGCCCTGTTCTGTCTCTTTTGCTCTTATCACAGACCCCCGTGCAGTGTTCATTTTGGTGGCAAATTTCAATTCAGTTTTCGTCATAGTCTTTGGACTAAAAAGCCATTTTAGTTTTAGTCGTATTTTGGTCATCTGAATAGTTTTAATTGACTTAATCTCAAACATTTTAGTCGACTAAAATTGTTAGTTGACAAAACAAACATTTATAGGGCCCTCCAGGCTGTATGGGTTGAAATGATGTCTTTCATAACGAGACTGTGAAGATAGGAACAAAATCACATTGCTCAGTAAGTTATTAATGGGACCATACAGGCAGGTACTAGGCATGAGTAATGTGCATCTGGAACTTGTGTGAGCTGCCTCTCCCATACAGGCAGGTATTGGGCATGAGTGATGTGCATCTGGAACCTGTGTGAGCTGCCTCTCCCATACAGGCAGGTATTGGGCAGGAGTGATGTGCATCTGGAACTTGTGTGAGCTGCCTCTCCCATACAGGCAGGTATTGGGCATGAGTGATGTGAATCTGGTACCTGTGTGAGCTGCCTCTCCCATACAGGCAGATATTGGGCATGAGTGATGTGCATCTGGAACTTGTGTGAGCTGCCTCTCCCATACAGGCAGGTATTGGGCATGAGTGATGTGAATCTGGTACCTGTGTGAGCTGCCTCTCCCATACAGGCAGATATTGGGCATGAGTGATGTGCATCTGTTACCTGTGTGAGCTGCCTCTCCCATACAGGCAGATATTGGGCATGAGTGATGTGAATCTGGTACCTGTGTGAGCTGCCTCTCCCATACAGTCTGATAATGTGAAGCCCTTTCTCCCAAACTCGGGCACCATATCTTACCTCTGCTTCCTGCAGACTCAGTTTAGCCCGGAGATCTTCCCTCTCTTTCCTCAGCTTGACAGCCACCTCCTTCATGCTCTCCATTTTGTAAAGGTCAGATCTTTTTTGTTCTTGTCTCATAGCTAAATTATGGGACAGTGTCTCCAATTCTTCCAAGTGGGACATCACACCTTAGAACAAAATGACAAAAAAAATAAAATAAATAAAAACATCTTAACTCTGCTGTAGTCACAATACTTCAAACACTATTATTTCACCAGTTTATTGAAAGTGAATGTTAAAAAATCTTGTTAAAAGACATAAAAAAGGTTTAAAAAAAAAATGAAAGACGAAGGTTTGCAAGTCTTATATTTTTATATCTTCAACAAAGAAAAAAGTGGACCGCCTTAATTCTTGGAACCAGGAATATTTGGCTCTTATTGTCAGTGCGCAATTTGTTTTTTTTAATTCATGGATTAAGGTTAAAACAATATTACTCTATTTGTGTTTGCTGTTTTTCCACGTAAATGTGGACATTTGATTACCACAATTTATTTGACATATGAGCTATAGGTAAACATTAACTTTATCTAATTCAATATAATAGTGACTTTCACACCTAAAGATAGTGCTCAAAATTTAGAAATACACTTCCCTTTTTGGCTATAAACCCGAAGATTTTCCTCACAGTAATCTTCGTAATACAATATATATATATATATATATATGGTGAATCCTATATAGGGAAGTAATGACATGGATATGCGACAAATGGCCACTCACAGGGATATGTAGTAAAAATGCCTTCAGTATTAATGCAGCTGTAACCCAGTCTGGAGATCAGGAAGGGTGGTCCCTCCAGATGGTATATGACAATAATAGTTGCAACTTGTAATTGATTGTCCCTGAGGAAGTCCCTACTACGGGATGAAACGCGTAGGATGACCTTTTTATGCTGGAATTTTGCTAACTCATGTGAGTGAATAAATCTTTTTTTATACTATCAGTTTATACTGCCTGCTAACTGGGTTCTCTATTACTGTCATTTACCATCTGGAGGGACCAACCTTCCTGATCTCCAGACTGGGTTTATTTACTACATATCATTGTGAGTGGCCATTTGTCGCGTATCCATACATTGTATACAAACTATTTTGCACTATGTTGTGTCATTTCTTCCCTATATAGGATTCACCCTATATTTATATAAATATTAACTTTATGTGCTACACTTTTTTGTTTGTTGTGTATTGGTGTATATGGAAGGATCATACACGGTTGCTGTAGTACTTTTCTGTGTTTTATTTTGCTTTAAGTCACTACATTATTTTCATTTTGCATCTTATTATCTGGGATGTCAAATAATTGTACGCAACCCCTTGGGGGGTGAGGGGGAGGAGTTTTTTCCTCGGTAAAATGCCCTAATTGAAACTATGGAAAGGTTCCCACTTCCCCCTAAATATTTGCAGTTAAGCTGCAAAATGAAGAGTTTTACCCAGCTGGAATCCAGTGCCGGGTAAAAGTCTCAGCGCTGACTTCTGCCCCCCCTCCAGACTATTGGTCCATTTTGCCGGCTCATAGAGCATGCACGCACCCTTGGCTGAAAAAAAATACTAGTGGCAACAAGGCAAGGGGGACACAATCTCCCCCCTGCAGGTGCCCCACTTGCAAAGGAGAAGATTTCTGTCATTTGACAGAGTGCAGTACGCGCTGATGACAGATTTATCTTTTTAATGCACAGAATTCTGGGCTGTCAATATCACGTGTGCGGTGGGAGGGGGGGAAACTAGCTAAGAAACACTGTCCATACGGACACCTACCACCATGACAACTTCACATCAATGAAGCGGTCATGGTGGTTGGAGTAACCCTTTAATTATCTATACGATGCATTAAAATATGGATGCTTTAAAGGTAGCTTGTCATGCCTTACCGGAGCTTTCCTTTTCCCCGACAATCTCCTTAGAGAGGTGGGTCCTCCCAACCTCCTCACTTATTTTGCATCTGAATGAAGTGAGTGCTGTGGTTGCTATGTCTCAAGAGCAGAAGAGAAGTCCCCACTGCTCTACCTGTCAATCAATTCTTCGGCATAGAATCGAAGCTGAAGATCTGATTGACAGGTGGAAGAAAAACCTATTTCACTCTAGCGTCCAGAGCAATGGGCACCATAAGCTTGTCAGACTGACAGGGAATGATCGAAGAGATCTGACCGATCTGAACAAAGCTAAATATAGAGATGTGTGTCTCTACGCGTTCGTTACCTTCTCGAAATAGATCCTGCGCCTCCTCCATGTTTGCGCCGAACGCCTCGTGTTACTTCGGCCAATCGTGCAACTTCTGCAAAGGAGGAAAAATGAAAGCGTTCACAGATTGTATAGTACAGCGCTACGGAATCTGACGGCGCTATATAAATAATAATAAAATAATAAATAATATAGCGGACATCGTATAGTACAGCGCTACGGACTCTGACGGTGCTATATAAATAATAATAATATAGCGGAGATAGTATAGTACAGCGCTACGGACTCTGACGGCGCTATATAATAATAATAATAATAATATGGCGGCGGCTGACGTCATTTAATAAAGGTGGGAATTTGGGGTAAGAGGCGGGCAGATTGTGCCATGGCTCCGCTTACCGTACTTTAAGGGGCGCTCAGAGCGCGCGGACTCCGGTTATTATTTCCCAGGAATCGTTAAATCTATAAATCATTCAGCCAGGGGCCTCCTGCGCTGCGGACTATGTTGGTGCCTATTCAATAAGAGAGGTTTCCCATGAAGCACCGCGAGCACAGGCTGCAGTCACTGCCTGGACCATTCCCCAGAATCCCCCGCAGCTTCTCCCGCCGTGACGTGCTATAGCCGTCCATTCGAATCACCCGGTTTTCCTGACCCCCCCCCCCCCACGTGACTCCCTCCGCCCAGCGTGCGTAGCGCGGGAAGACGTGATCTGATTGGCTGAGCGGACCCGCGTTCCACGCCTCGCTGTGATAATGCGTTACGCTCCGGCATTACGCTCCCTGTAAGGTGTTGTCATGGTGACGGGGTGGGCGTGTCCTGTCTCAATAGAACAAGCACAGCTTTATTGTTCCCAGCCCGGACACAGAGCAGCATGCCGGGCCTGGTGCAGTATATAGTGCTCCGCAGGGACCTGCAGGCTGTCCTAGGCTGGCCCCTGGGGGCCCTGGTGGCTCAGGCCTGTCACGCAGCTACAGCCGCCATTCACTTGTATTATCAGAACCCAGAGACACAGCAATACCTGCAGGAGCTGGACACCATGCACAAAGTGCTACTGGAGGTCAGTGACCGGGGCAGCAAGAGGGGGGGGCAAGAGG